TTTTGTTTTGTTTTTTATCTATCTCAGAAACAGGTAAGGACTTTGGTTTACAACATGTAATTTTAAAGTTGATGCTCTAATATTTGTCCATCACTTAGAAGTTATAAAACTGTATACAGTATGTGCTGAGAATTATAGCCATAAATGTCAAAACATAGTGTCTTTTGGAACAGGTCTGATCCAATTAATAATGGTATCTTGTAATTACTGACTAAAATAATTAATCAAGCAATTGTTTCATATGCTGTATAAAAGTCATTAATATCTAGCAGCTAATTGGATAAGATTGTGTGATATTAAAATAAATATTTAAAAATTCATTCGCAATTGTGTTTTCAGAATTCCTTATGGCATTCCAGTGTGATCCTGTGACTGAAAGGGCTAATGCAAGCCTTATACATGTTGAGAGTTGAATCTGGAATAAGAGGAGGGAGGTTGTGTTATCTCTGTATTTGGCACTGCACTGACTGCTACTGGAATACTGTCTCCAGGTCTGGTGGTGTAAAATCAAGAAAGATGTTGATAAATTGAAGAGGGTTCAGAGAAGAGCCACAAGAATGATTAAAAGATAGGAAAACATGCCTTATAACAGGAGTTCTCAAACTGGGGGTTGGGACCCCTTAGGGGGTTATGAGGTTATTACATGGGGGTTCACAAGCTGTCAGCCTCCACCCCAAACCCCACTTTGCCTCCCACATTTATAATTGTGTTAAATATATTAAAGAAGTCTTTTTAATTAAAGAAGGTGGGGGGTCGCACTCAGAGGCTTGCTATGTGAAAGGGGTCACCAGTAAAAAAGTTTGAGAACCATCGCCTTATAGTGGAAAGAATCCAGAAGCTCAGTCTGTTTAGCTTAACCAAGATAAGTACCTAAATGGTGAACAAAACTTTGGTAATGAGCTCTTCAGTCTAGCAGACAAAAGTATAACAAGCTCCAATGGCTTGGAAGTTGGACGTTTGGCAAATTCAGGCTAGAAATAAGGCATACATTTTTAACTGTGAGGGTTATTAACCATATGCACATGAGATTGCTAGTTAGTAGAGATTGCTACTCTTCAGGAATAGTACCCTATGATTGGAGAATAGCTAACATCAGACCTGTGTTTTAAGAAATGGGGGAGTTACCTGGGCAATTACAAACCTGTTAGTCTGACCTCAATAGTATGGAAGACTGTGGAACACATGATGAAAGAAAAAGAAAAAAACTAATGGAGGTAGACGGCAAGGGGAATGTAATACACCATGGGAACATGGGTTTACCAAGAATAGATTGTGCCAGACTAACCTGATTTCCTTCTTTGAGAAAATAACTGATTTGTTTTTTTTAGGGAAAATGCAATAATATACTTTGACTTTAATAAAGCACTTGACATGGTACCAAATAGAAAATTATTAGTTAAATTAGAGTAGATGTGGATTAGCACAAGAACTGTAAGTACATAGGGAACTGGGTAATGGAGAGAAGGCAAGGGGTGGTGCTGAAAAGTGGAGGGTTTCAGATTGGAGGGAGGATACTAGTGGAGTTCCTCAAGATCTTTTTTGGGATTAGTTTTTAGTCAATATTTTTATTATTGGCCTTGGCACAAAAAGTAGGAGTGTGCCAATGAAATTTGCTGATACAAAGTTGGGAGTTATCAATACAGAGGAGGATCAAAATATTATACAGAAATATCTGGCAGACCTTGAAGACTGGAATGACGGGGTTAAAGTCAATGGTAAAAGTGCAAGGTCATGCACTAGGGTCTAATAATAAGTTCTGCTACAAGCTGTGGTCTCCTCAGTTGGAAATGATAGAGGAGGAGAGACACCAAAGTGTGTGGGTTGATCACAGGATGATGATGATGAGCTACCAATGTGATGGAGCTGTGAAAAAGGCAAATGCGATCCTACAATGTATCAGGTGAGGAATTTCCAATAGAGATAAAGAAGTATTAATGCCATTGTATAGGGCAGGGGTTGGCAACCTTTCAGAAGTGATGTGCCGAGTCTTCATTTATTCATCCTAATTTAAGGTTTCGGGTGCCGGTAATACATGTTAACGTTTTTAGAAGGTCTCTCTCTATAAGTCTATAAACTATTGTTGTATGTAAAGTTTAGTGCAGTGGTTTTTAACCGGGGGCAGGGCCGATACAATGATATTTTGCGCCCTAGGCGAAACTTCCACCTCTCCTCCCTCCTCCCCCCCACCCCCCCCGCTCATTGGTTCATTGAGGGGCAAATCCCAACGAGCCTTTATAGACCCCAGGGGCCAGCCGTGCCATGGGGCTGCTCCCCAGACCAGGTTCCCCTCCCCACCCCCTGAACTCCCCTAAGGGGTGCACAGCCCCCCCCCCCCACAAGCCCTGCCACCCCCACCCCCACCCCGGCGGCCCCCACCCCGGCGGCCCCCACCCCGAGTCCACTCGCTGGCTTTGCTAGGCTTGGGCCGCTGCAGCAGCTCAGCAGGGAGGAGCCACCTTCCGGAGGCAGAGTACTGGTAGAGCCAGTGTGTCCCGCTAGCGGGGAGCTGCCACACTGCTCCTGCGCAGGCTGCGCCCCCCCCCCCAGGGGCTCCTGCAGGCTGCAGCAGATGCATGCGGGCACCAGCCCCCATGTGCCCCCCGGCTTCCCCCTCACCTAGGGTTACCATGTTTCAACAATCAAAAGAGAGGGGGGGGACCCCGCCCCCATCCACTCCCTCCCATCTCCTGACTGCCTCCCTCAGAACCTCCAAACCTCCCCTGCTCCTTGTCCCCTGACTGCACCCAGAGCCCCACCCCCTACCTAAGCCTCCCTGTTCCTTGTCCCCTGACTGCCCCAACCTTTATCCACACCCCCACACCTCAACAGGGACTCCCACGCCCCATCCAACTACTCCCTGTCCTCTGACAGGATCCCCGGAACTCCCAACCCTCTCCCTGACTGCCCCCCAGGACTCCCCTTACCATGCCCATGCCAGTCAGACGCTGGCTCCACGTGGAGGCAAAACACGCTGTCGTGCGCACCACCCTTCCCCTGCAGAGTGCTCAGGCAGCACGAGCGGGGGAGCTCTGGGAGGGGCAGCGGCAGGGGCTCACACTTCCAGGAGCCGCAGAACCTGAGCCGCAGAACCAGGTGAGGGGGAAGCCGGGGGGTGCGCCTGCCCAGGCTGCGGCCCAGTGCCCCCGGGGGGTGGGGGGGAGGCGCCTGCAGCGGTTGCATGCGGGCAGTGGTCCCCATGCGCCCCCCGGCTCCCCACACACCGCGCTTGGGCTCTGTGGCTCCGGGCGTGTGAGCCGCCGCCACCGCCCCTCCCGGAGCAGGTTCAGGGCCCCACGCCCCAGCGGCGGCGGCAGCGGCTGACACACCTGGGAGCCACAGAACCCAAGTGCAGTGAGAGGTGGGCGGGGGGCGTGCCTGCTGCCTGTCTGGGGTTTCGGTCGCCAGCCCCACTTAGCCTCCTTCCAGCCTGCGGTTCTGTTCACTCAGCCGGCAGCGGGCTGAACGGCGCTGGCGGCCAGGACGCTGGCTGGCAGCCGCGTGCCAGGCAAAATCAGCTTGCGTGCTGCAGGTTGCCGACCCCTGGTATAGGGCACTGGTAAAATCTCATGTGGAAACTATGTACAATTCAGGTCACCCATCTTTAAGAAAGATGAATTCAAACTAGAACAGGTGCAGAGAATAGCTACGAGAATGATCAGGAGAATAGGTTCTATTTTATGAGAGGAGACTGGAAGAGGTTGGCTTGTTTAGCCCAGTGATTCTCAACCTTTCTAGACTACTGTACCCCTTTCAGGAGTCTGATTTGTCTTGCATACCCCAAGTTTCACCACATTTAAAAACTATTTTCTTACAAAATCAGACATAAAAATACAAAAATGTGGCAGCACACTATTACTGAAAAACTGCTTATTTTTCTCATTTTATCATATAATTATAAAATAAATCAACTGGAATATAAATATTGTACTTACATTTCAGTGTATAGTGTGTGTATATAGAGCAGTATAAACAAGTAATTGTATGTATGAATTTTAATTTTTACTGACTTTGCTAATACTTTTTATGTAGCCTGCTGTAAAACTAGGCAAATATCTAGATGAGTTGATGTACCCCCTCCAGTGTGTTCTGGGGTGTGGTTTTTGCTGGGCTTCCTCTGAAGCAAAAGGCTGGAAATTGGACACTGGATGGGGTGGAGCAGTGCTCTGAGGGGGTACTGAGCATGCTTTGCTGGCTGGTTCTTGCTCACGTGATCAGTGCCTAACTGATCACCATATGTGGGGTCAGGAAGGAATGCTTCTCCCGATAAAATTGGCAGTGACCTTGGAGGTTTTACACCTTCCTCTGCAGCATAGGGTGACCAGATAGCAACTGTGAAAAAATGGGACGGGGTGGAGGGTAATAGGCGCCTATATAAGAAAAAGTCCCAAAAAACAGGACTGTCCCTTTAAAAACGAGACATCTGGTCACCCTACTGCAGCATGAAGTGCAGGTCACTTTCTGGGATTATTTGGGTATATCTCTCTTAATGAATTTCCTGATACTGATGTCTGATATTGATGCACCTTGATCCCTTCTGTCCCTCTGCTTGTGACACATAATAGTTTAGTTTCCTGTGGGCTATAATTCTTTGGTCTAATTTTGGTTGTTGGGTTTAGTATACAGGTGCTGGGTGGTGGTGGTGGCCTGTAATATGCAAAAGGTCAGATTAGGTGATTTGATGGTCCCTTCTGGCCTTAAACTTTTACTCTGTGACATTGGAACAAGTTGCCAAGGGTTGTGGCAATTTTCCATCACTGGCAATTTTTTTTAAAAAATTGCCTTTAAATGTTATAGTTCAAATTAATTAATTCAGGGAGGTCCTACAGTCTTTGTTTTTATACAAAAGGTCTTATCTATGTAATAGTCATTTTCAAAGTCACCTGCTTTCTTGCCTTCCACTAAGCTAAAGACATTGTGTGGTTACAAAGATTATTGAAGCATTTAGCATCTCACTCAGTTTTATACTCTGGGGGTTGATTAGACTGCTTTTGTTTCCATAGGTACCTCAACACACAGTTTATTAAGAAGAACAAATTAACTGAAGCTGATCTTCAGTATGGCTATGGGGGTGTGGATATAAGTGAACCACTGATGGAAATAGGAGAGGTAAGTACCTCTGAAAGTAGATGTAAGAGGTAACCATAAACTGTACATAAAAACAGATCTTATAATTTAACTGTGTTCTTTTAAATGTTGATTTTTAAAATTTAAAATTGTGTACAACCTAAAAATATATAGCTTGACTTTCAGTGGGAGTATTGTGCACGTTGGAAAATCAGGTTAAAAAGTTTTATAGAGGACTTGTCGGTTCCTTATCTGAAAAGCAGAATTAAATAAGGTACAACCTGGGGGTGGGAGAAACACATGTAGGTGTGGATCTGTGTAAATATTGTTGATAAGGCACATCTTGGATTTGTCAAACAAAAGAATTGAGAATGGAAACAAATATTGGGAAGGATGTTAATTCCTGCCCAAATCTCGCTTCAGTTTGGATTTTTAAACTTCATTTACTATCGGATAAGTTTTCTGTGATGTTTGTATCTTTACAGCTAGCACTTGATATGTGGAGAAAATTAATGATTGAGCCACTGCAGGCCATACTCATTCGAATGCTCCTCCGAGAAATCAAAAAGTGAGTGCTTGTTTGTTTTCTATTAGTTACAGTGTTTTTAATCTGGTCTAAATTCTTTTTTTTAATTGTTTGCTTGGAGAGGCCTGTGAATTCATTGCACTTCAGCGAAGTTGCTTTCTTATTTTAGTATAAACCAACTCTGAACGTGCTGCTATTACCTCATTAATGTGCCAAAAGCTTTAGTTGTCGAAAATATAAACACTTCTGTTGCCATTTACTTGTGCAGAAAGAGAACCCGAGTTGAAAAATTTAATTCTCTATAGTTAGGCCTGGAAGAATTCGATTATTATTATTTATTTGAAATTCAGTTAATATCAATTTTTATTTTTAAGCCTTTTATTTATTTAATTCCTATTTAAATAAATTTCCAGTTTCACACTGGGGTTACAGGGGGCTACCTGTGTGGATACAGGACTGATGACACTGGATCCCTGCAGCTGTGAGATGTGCAGAAAGCTGTCATATTGGCAGTGCAGAGCAGAAGCTCTTGGGGCAGGCCACCCCCTTGCTGCATGGCTCCTGCCTGGGGATGGCCCCCACACTCCCAGCTGTGTGAGAGAATGGGACCATGACAGTAGGGCTGCAGAGAGTTCCCTGCGACGCTATGGGGCTGGATTCCTGTAGGCACAAAGTAGGTGGGACATCGTGCTTGCCGACTGTTACCAATGGATATTTTTTTTCATCTGTTTCAATGTGTCAGGTGAAATAGATGTTTACTAAGGACTAACAGTTCAAATCAAATCCTGCCAAGCCTAACTATAATCCCGAGGGAATGTTCTTTAGTACCTAAGACTTGAGACTAGAACTCTTGTTTCTCTTCCTACTTCTAATGCTGAGTTGAAGAGAAACCTTGAGCTAGACAGTGTTTGTGCCTCCCTTTATATATCTGGATGGGGATTTTTACCTACTGCACATAAGGAAGTGTGTTGTGAAGGTTAATATTTCTATACTGGTTGAATATAGTGAAATGAAGCACTTTGTAATTGCTTTATAGCATACTTGTAATGATTCATATTTCATTTCTACTCCTTTCAACTGGATTTTATGAAAATGTGTTAAGGACTGATATTACATCCTTCTGAAACATTACTTCTGAAGCCTGTAATATACCTAATAACGTTTAGAGCTGCCTAAGACCACTTCTTTTGAAGCCAGTGTTTACAGTGATTCAAGGATAAATTGGGCGTTAAGTAACGATAATCATCTTAACTCTTTTGAGTCTGGTGAACAAGGGACATAAGCATATACCACTTAGCAATGCAGAAGTTTGTTTAGTTATACTAAGAACAAGTGGCCTGGATTCTCATCTTGACTATTTATTAGCTGACCTAAATGTTAATTATACTACTGAGACAGAGGGCCTGATCAATGAAAATTAGGTATTTCGTAGGAAAAGGATGCTGACACGCTTATTAGAGAGGGCTATTTATTGTCAACCATGAAGCAAAACTTTCAGTATCTATGAAAATGATCACATTCCTTCACTGTGGAGAGTTAGCTGATTATGGGCCTGATCCAAAGACTGATATAGTCAATGGAATGACTCCAATTGATTTCAGTGGGCTTTTGAGCAGAGCCTATAAGAGAGTGGGGCTGATTTATTTATTTATTTTTGTTAAAGAAACTTTGAAAGTGGTAAAAACGGTGTGCCTGTAGGGCTCTAAGCAGCATTATCGTCAATGGCTAGACCTGATTTCTCTTTTCTGCTCTGCCACGGGCACTGCTGTATGACTGGAGCAAGTAATTTCACATCTGTTCCTTAGTTTCTCCATCTGTAAAATAAGGCAAATGACTTTCCTTTTTAAAGCAATTTATAATCTATGCATGATGAAATGCACTATACAAGCAAGAACTGATCCTTATTGTTACAAAAAATTATTTCTTTCAAGTACCGGACAGTATAGTGCTTGCTGTCAAACCTTTACAATTTTGCCTTTGCTGAACTAACATTACAGTAGAATTTGTGCTATCTTCCATGATTAGTACAAGCAATTATTGCCAGCAATTAGTATTATGGCAAAGAACAATTGTGAAGATTTTAGTGGCAACTGCAGTAGCTGTCGTTTAGAATCAAGTTTAGCAGTGCAGGGATTGCACAATATCTTTGTAGGAAGAAAAAGTATTAAATCGCATCTCATACGGAAATATCTGAAGTAACAAATATTACATGAAGTGGATGGAACATTGAACTACATAAAAAACTAAATTTTATGCACACTTCTCACAGTACTCAGTATGCAAGTCTGTACATAAAAGTAAATTCTGCTTCATGCAATTATTTCTACGTGTTTTGTGTTTTTTAAAAAGCATATCAGTAAGTAGAAGGGGAGTTACACCTCCTATAACTGGAACTTTTAATGCATAACACAGTATAAAATTAGTACATAAATATATCCCAATGATTGTAGCCTTGTTGGTTCCAGGATATTAGCGAGACAAGGTGGGTGAGGTATAATCTTTTATTGGACCAAGTTCTGTTGGTGAGAGAGAGAAGCTTTTGAGCTACACAGAGCTCTTCCTCAGGTCTAGAAAAGATATTCAGTGTCGCAGCTAAATACAAGGTCAAACAGATAGTGTAGCATAAGTAGTTAGCACATATTCTAAGAGATCTTTCAAGGTGAAGTGGCCTGTTAACACCTGTCTCTTTGGAGTCACCGGTGTGATGCTCTGGAACTATTCCATACAAAGCCAGTCAGGACACTGGGGGAGCTGCCTCCTCTCTCTGAGCATACTGTCTCCAGGGCAAGAAGCTTACACAGCTTCAACCTTCCTGGATCTGACCTTGGAGCATTCAGCATTCCCAGCGAGTCTGCCCAGGCGGGGATCCTGGGAAGCCAGAGGGCCCTGCACCCCAACTCCACAGTCATACGTGACTCTCAGCCAGCAGATAAAACAGGGTTTATTAGTCGACAGGAAAACAGTGTAGGACAGAACTTATTAGCACAGAAATCAGTGACTTTCAGCCAAGACCATCTTGGGGGGGGGAGTCTCCTGTGCCCCAGCCAGCTGAGACTGACTTGCTTCCAGCTGCCTGGCCCCTGCCCTGCCCGTTGTTCCTCCTCTGGCATTTGTCTCACATCCTGGGCCAAGAGTCACCTGGTCGCATCCCCCTCCTGGGTCTGAGGTTATGAAGTGGCGGCCGTAGCATCCATGCAGGCAGCTGGAGCAGCTGCCACAAAAGTCACACATCCATATTCCCACCACTTAGACATTGGTGCAATACACAGGGAAACTGAGGCACATACAGCATTCATGCAAAACAGTATGGCTCACATATAACGTAACAAGGGAAAATCCCCACTACGTCACAACGCCCCTGGAGTCATAAGACAAACGGGGTTTAGTGGGTTGCAGATTGTTGTCATAAGTCATAAATTCAGTGACTTTATTAAGACCGTGATTGTTAGTGTCTAGCAAAGTTATGAATTTAAGCTCCCAGGCACATCTTTTGAAAGTGTTGTGCAGGTTTCCTTTGTGGATGAGGACTGATAGATCATATATAGAGAGATCGCTTTGTGAAAAGTGTTCAGCCACAGGTGATCTCTTTTATCATTTTCCTGTGTGAGTTCATTCAAGACTCTCCTGATTGCCTTTCTGGTTTTACCCACACAGTAGTTATTGGGACATATAGTGCACTGGATGAGGTACACCACACGTTGTGATCGGTATCTGTAGGAACCATAGGTCTTGAAAGGTGTGATATGTGGGGTGTTGATCATAGTAGCAGTGGAGATATGTCTTCAGGTTTTGCATCTGTTGTTTTGGCAGGGTGTTGTGACACTTTGAGTTAGTGTGATCCTCAGAATACCATCTTTGCTACCATAGACATAATTTCCCTAGATACCAGAATCCCTAACAATGATGGCATGGGTGCCTGTTTCAAATATTTACAAGACAATGGACACTCCTCAGATACCTACCCAAAAACACATGCCAAACTCATCTATTTTACATTCAACAACAAACACTGCGTCAAACTGCCATAGGTACTAGGATGGCTCCTGAATATACCAACCTCTTCATGGGCCATGTTGAAGAAGAATTACTGCACAAATGCACCACAAAACCAATGATACACCGGAGATTCAATATTTTCATCCTCTGCACAGACGACTTATGCTCCCTCATAGATTTCCTCCACAACTTCAGCAACCACTGCCCATCCAAACTCTCTCTGGAACACTCCCACACTAGTATCAACTTGCTGGACACCATAATCAGTTTCAACTATAGAACTCTACAGACAACTACATACAAGAAATTCACAGATCACCACACTTAACTTCATATATCTGTTAACCACCCCAAACAAACGAAGAAATCTGTTATCTACAGCCAGCCACGCAAATACTACAGAATATTCTCTAAGGAAGAAGTCTGGGATATACACCTTAACATACACAAAATCACCTTCACCCAACAAAGACATTCCATCAGAGAAGTAGATCACATTATGTAATGGGCCACCCAGATACCCCAAGAGAACCTACTTCAGTACATAAATAAATCCCCTCCCCCACACCCCCAACCGCACACGCGTAGTTGTCACTTGCCACTCCACACTGGAACCCATATGGGGTATTATCAAACAACTCCAGCCCATACTGAATGGGGACCCCATCCCGAACAAAATCTTTCCTGAACCCCCTCTTCTGGCCTTCAAACAACCTGCCAACCTCTCCAAGCTCATCAGAAGCAAGTTCTCCACAGACCAGGACACACCAACTCAAAGTGGCACCAGATCTTGCAAAAGCAACAGATGCAAAACCTGAAGACATATCTCCACTGCTACAATGATCCACCTCTGCCACATCACACCTTTCAAGATTCATGGGTCCTACATATGCCTATCACAACATGTGGAGTACCTCATCCAGTGCACTAAATGCCCCAATAGCAACTATATGGATGAAACCAGACAGTCACTGTGCTCACGAATGAACTTACACAGGAAAATGATAAAAGAGAAAAACACACCGTATCACCTGTGGCTGAACACT